AATAGCATTGCTTGGCCCTTATTTTATTTTAATATTTAATGAGTTCACAGAATTCATTTAAATTTAAATTATGTTTTGATGCCTTGCTTGTTCTAATCTAGAGAGGTTCAAAGTTGTTGAAAATGGGCTTATTTCTCACCATGCATTTATTCATTTTTTGTGTGGCAATTCTCAAGTGGAGGGAAAAGTGAATCACTATTAAATTAATGCGACTACAACACTCTGGTGGAGCATCAAGGAAATAACTCCCAATAAGGACACACAGGTAAGTTATACAATTTGAAGACAGAGATAATGTGAGACGTGAGGAGCAAAACAAAAATACACTATATTATAAAATCTCTCTCAGGAATCTCCCAACTTGACAAAAATAAGGGCTAGGCTTAGTGGGAGCAAGGCAGTCATTGCATGAGGAGGACCCCATTGGAGGAGGCGTGAGGTTTTGGAGGCACAGCAGGAGTGAATCTGGATTTGTGAATCTCCGAATGTCGAATGTCATCCGCCACCGCCACTAATCTATTTGGCATAACCCACTGTTAACAGCGAAGAAATGCAGTAGGTTATTTTAATAATAATAATAATAATAATAAGGTAAACAGAGAAACTCAGAACAAGAGCAAGGAAACTACAGAACAGGACACAAAAGTCCACACAAGACAAGGAAAATATTAGATAGGAATTTTCCTACCCCCCCAGAAGCGGATCCGAGGGCGGGATGGAGGGCCAGGCCCATGGAGCGGAAGAGGGCCTGGAGACTGCGATAGGGCGGAGCAGACAATAAGGGCGTAGCAGGCAGTGCAAGCAACCAGGGAGGTGACGACCCTTCAGGTGGCCAAGGTGAAGCAGGAAGTGCAGGCGACGACCCTTCGGTCGGCCAGGCAGGACACAACCCTTCAGGCGACCAGGGCGGAGCAGATTTACTTCATTTTGATGCAATTATTGTAGTAGTTGACATGCATTATGTTTTTTTTTTTATTATTATTTATGCAGACATTTAAGTGCACCTAGTAACTTATATTTTTTTGTTACACACATATGTTAAGTAAACGTTGCAAAGTTATGAATACTTAATTTTTTATGTTTGATCCAATTACTTTTATAAGTATTGGTTGTTCGGCTGCTTCAAGATCATACATGCTTTCGAATCAGTACTGTGATGTCATACACCAATCGTATATGTACTCTGTACAGTGCTGCTTCAAGATCATACTGTATCCTTTCGAATCAGGACTGTGATGTCATAAACCAATCGTCTGTAAGGGAGACCGGGGGCAATTGTAACGTATTTTACATTTTCCTTAATAACTCACAAACTACTTGAGATAGACTAGATATCTTTTGATACAAGAAACATATATATGTGCACTAATTAATAATACAATTTATATATTTTCACTTATAAGAACAAGATTAAAATATTTAATTAAATGCAGTGTAGGGGCAATGGTATAACACTGAGAAATAACTCCTATTAACCCACTTTATCTCAAACAAAAGCATACCTCAAAGTAATCACTTTACTGCTGTTGTATTTAATAATTTTAAGAGTTTATATAATATTTACACTTTGTCAAGCACATATAAAAAACACATTATTTTATATAAAAAATGTTAATTGATGATTTGTTAATACTGGAACAAACATTTATTTTAATACACCCTTTTAAAATGAAGTTTTACAATAGAATTTAGTGAAATATGTTCATTTTTTTAACAGAAAAGTGTGTCAACACACACAAACAAGCTTATTACAATGGGCCTTGTGGCTCGGGAGCAATTGTAACACAGTGTTACAGTGTTGTTCATGTTCGTTTTTAATCAATAACCTAGGGATAAAATGTATACAAGTTTAAATTGACAGACATCTTAACTTTAGACAGCAGAAGAAAAATACTGTACATCCAAAAAATAACTTTCATACCTCAAAATCAGTTTGTCGTTAATAACTTCTGCTAAAGTTGAAAATGTCACGCTTCTTTTCCACAGATAGAGAGAGAATCCTATTGGGCATGTACAGATTAAGTGTCATCACTCTAGCTTGTTTCTGATTGGAGGAATTGAGTGTGTTACAATTGGCTTTATGCACAGCTGCACTACTTCCTGAACTTAAGCCAGCTCCTTTGTTTCCTGTCTGCCATTATTGGCCAAGCTTGATTAATTCAGGTGTGTCTGATTATTGTTGCCGTGACTACTGAGGTCAGGAACACCTGAACTAATCAATTTGTCTAATAATGGCAGACAGGAAACAAAGGAGCTGGCTTAAGTTCAGGAAGTAGTGCAGCTGTGCATAAAGCCAATTAGTTACTATTTAATTACTTTTCCCTTGAAAATGTAAAGGGATTGCTCTTCATTTATCTGTAATTTAATTACAGTTACTTCTGATGTAATTGAGGTAAATACTGTGTATAGATCAATCTGATCTCACAGCGATTCGTATGATTTTATGAGGTGTCTAAATCGTACGATCGCACTCGTACAAATTCTTATGAATTATCGTAAAATATGTATGAAAAAAGTGTGAAATGTCATGAGATCAGACATAAAACATAGTGGGTTTAACATCAAAATGTATTGTCTGATGTTAAAAAGTATATGTAATCTTCTCCACCTTGGTCAGTTTAAGGATAATTCTTGCAATTTTATAGTTTTTATTTGAAAAAATTAAAACAGATTCATGTCTATCCTTGTATTATTCAGCTGGTTGAGATAGATATGGGATTTTGAAAGTAATAATTAAAAGTAATTAAATACTTTTTAGAGAGTAATACAGTAATCTAATTACACTGTTGAAGAGGTAGTTAGTAACTATAGTAATGAATTACTTTTTTTAGAGTAACTTACCCAACACTGCATGCTTACCGTCAGTAATACCGGAAAAATGCTACCGTAGCGCGAATTGATCACAGAATGCCGATTAAAGTCGTATGAAATACAATTCTAAGTTATGAGTAGCTACTGTATACTGTAGACTACTGTTTTTATTTTTAAAACGGTGTGAAAAGTAAAAATTATCATAAAATATTCATCTTTGACTTGTCAAAGTACACCTTTTCTTATAGTAAAACTTTCAGTTATTCCTTTTCAGCTGGCTGACCGTACAAATATTAATATGGTAGTAAGCATTTTTTAAAGGGAAATTATACATTATAACAGGAAAATGTACCTTTTGTAAAAAATTAAAAAAAAAAAAAAAAAAAAAAAAAAAAAAAAAAGTCTGCACATGCGCATAACCGGTAAGTAGGAAATCTCGATGGGTAGCATGAATTGTCAGAACACCGGTAGTCAACACTGACAGCGCAGCGTGAAAGAGTTCGTCTTAGGTTTAACAACCTATGAAACTAATAATGGACAATATGAAACTAAAACGACATAAGCTTAATTTAAAATGTCTTAGAAACTACGGGATATTTAGAGGTGGATAAACGCAATTGAAAGGTGGATAAACGCACTTTGGAGGTGCAAACGCAATTCCCGAATATTGGGAGGTGGGTAAATGGCATTTACGTGCATTTAGCCTCCACTACATCCCTGGGTGTATGTATGACATCACAGTACTGATTCAAAAGCATACAGTATACAGTGATCAAATAGAAGCAGCACTATACAGAGCACAGACGATTGGTGTATGACATCACAGTACTGATTCGAAAGCATACAGCAGACAGTGATCGACAGCACTGTACAGAGTACAGACGATTGGTGTATGCAGAGGTGTAGTTGTAAAAAAAGAGGTGGGTAAACTATAAATTCTGGTGGACCAAGACGTGGTCACCAGGTAAGGTGGGCCACTGCCTACCGGTGTATGTGTGTCTCCTGATGACATTGCTATATAGGGAGGGCTCGACATTAAGCCTTTTCATACGCTAAGTAAATCTGCCTTTCACTTGTCCGAGTAAAAAAGTTGCTTGTTCGGATTTTTTTTAATTTGACTTATTCTTAAAAAAAATTCTCATCACTGATATATCAGCTTTGATATTTAACTCACCATATTGTAATTTCTGGATAAAGAGGTGGATAAACGCAATTGAAAGGTGGATAAACTTACTTTGGAGGTGCAAACGCAATTCCCGAATATTGGGAGGTGCGTAAACGGCATTTGTGCATTTAGCCTCCACTACATCCCTGGGTGTATGACATCACAGTACTGATTCGAAAGCATACAGTATACTTTGATCACCTTGACGAAGCACTGGGGAGACCGGGGGCAATTGTAACAGGGGGCAATAGGCTTTATGCACAACTTACTTCCGCATTCTCTGTAAAACAGGTCGCATCGCTTCCGGTCCAGGTCTTTTGTATGTGCTTCATGAAATTGTTTGCGGTTTTACTCAAGATAACTTAAAAGGAGCGAACAAAGATTAGCATAACCAATATCCCTCACATGTGCAGATTGATATTTAAACGTTTTATATTTTTTATTCTTCACAGTAACGTTTAGATATTTAAATGTAATAAAACGCCAATAACAAAGTGAACTAGGTAGGTTAGCTGATTATCTTAAATATCCATAGATATCGTAGTCAGTTCTTACGGCCGTTAACACTTTCTCTGACAAGCGGATGCGATGAGACCCGTTTTCCGGTTTGGTCACGTGACGCACGGCATAAAGCCTATTGGCTTTATGCACAGCTTCACTATTTCCTGAATTTCAGCCAGCTCCTTGTTTCCTGTCTGTCATTATTGGACACATTGATTAATTCAGGTGTGCTTGACCTCAGTAGTCATGGCAACAATAATCAGACACACCTGAATTAATCGATTTTGCCCAATAATGGCAGACAGGAAACAAGGAGCTGGTTGAAGTTCAGGAAGTAGTGCAGCTGTGCATAAAGCCCATTTGTTGGGTCTCATACTGTCTGCTGCTAGCGATTAAAGACACAGAACACACATTGGTCTCTCCTCAGCCCCCACAACCGCTGCCGTGAATCCCAGAGCAAGATATGTGTTTTTATGTGTGTGTGTGTGTGTGTGTATTAAGAATGCACTGCAAACACAGAGAATACAGAGAATATTAGATCACCTTTAAAACGCACGTCAGGCAGTTTCTTACAGGTTTACTTACATTCACATTTTCTCAAACACATAACAGCGATTGCAAGGAAACCACTGATGAAGGAAACGATTTGTTAGAAGATCAATTCTGTCATCATTCATTTACTGTCATGTCAGTACAGACCCATGTCTTTTTCTTTCAAAGAATACAGGCATAAATGTATTTTCACAGAATTCAACTTCAAGTCATAGGGTTAGGAAGAAATTAATACACAGAACACACTTGGTTAGCAAAAGAATCAGTGTTTATCAATATTATTGTTCCAGCCAGTGATCAAGTGATTGTGTAAGTCATTGACCTGAACGTAAACACACTTTAGACAAACTGATCGGGTTGAAACACTGAACCTTTAAACGAATATGATCCATGAAGCGCCTGTGTGTGTAAAACAATAACACTCTTTGATTTCTGATTCATAACTGCTTCTTGATTCTGGCACAGTTTGTGATATTCGCTGCAGGTGTGTGTTTACAATCAGTCCCATCATCCTCTGCTCTGGCCTTCCTCTCGTTCATGTCGTCCACGAGTGTTTTCAGTCTGTCCAGGTGATGAAGAGCTCTGAGAAAACAGACAAAAGAACAACAATGAACAGCAACAGACGAGAGCAACGCTGCTTCACTGAGATCACATGACTCTCCTGACCTCTGTAATGACTCGTCGCTTCCCGTGGCAGTTTCTTCTGTTTCCTCCTGAGGATCCTTATCAAAAATACAATCCCAAAACAAAAAGAAATTTATTGTAAGACTTAAAATGAATATATTGCATGACATACTTCTAATGCTTGCAGTTTCATCTCTGACCCTGCATTGGAGCGCTTCAATATTAAATTAACAAAATGTGAATAAACTGCTTGTGTTTGTACATCATTTTGTATATTGTCTGTTAAATTACTAGATACAAATGATTTGCTTTTATACCATGTCTGCAATGGACAACATGACAAAACTAGATGTTTCCCACATTGTAAAAGGGAAATGTTTAATTCATAACAACATGATGCTATTCAGTTTTGTTTCATTAATTTTAATTAGTTTGTTGACTAAATAGAAAATGAAACATTCAGCCAATACATATCCAATAAAGGCAACTACAGATTTCTTGTCCAGTTCGTAACAAAATAACCAGATGTTTTTTTATATATTATACATTATAATTTTACATGACACTTAAATTTCACCACTGAAACTAAATTTACATTTCTTCTTTTCTTTTTATGGAATAATTCCAGAATAACATCCATAACTCGTACAGAGGGCGGGGCTATAATCTGTCACTCACATGAGATCCACCAACAGCAAACCTCAACCATCCAATGAATCTTTGTCATGCCCCGCCCACATTTGTTCTTGTTCCGTTTCACTCTGATATTTACCGCTGACTTTAATGACATGAAGATTGCTATATCTGTCCTACAAAGCAAAGATAACTGGGATATAGTTTTTGAAGCTTGTGCATAAAACTCAACACAAACCTCAAACAACTAATTTGAAAAGATGAGCTGTTAAAGGTGCTGTATGTAACATTTTTATTCTACTAAAGCATAAAAATACCATAATATGTTTGCATGTATTAAAGAAACATGCTGAGTTCATACACTCGTTTCTCTGAAAAACACACTTCTACAGCCGGTTATTTTACTCTGAAATGTGCGTTTCCAGGCTGGAATGTTTAATATTGTTTTGGTCTGTGATTACGTTGCCAATTTTCATTGTCCATTGCGCTCGTTCCTGTTGCGTGTATCATCCTGGCAACCCGACAGAGAAACGATGATCTCAGATATTTTGAATTGGACTGCAGTGCCTATTTCGACCACTAGTTGTCATTCTTACAGACTGCACCTTTAACATCACAACAAATAATGACAAGTCAAGGGAAAAAGTTAAATGAGGTGATGTTTATTGTCCTGGTTTACTGTACCGGCTCCAGTGTTCTGGCTCCGGTGGACGCGTGTGATTGGCTGATATCGTGTTGGACGGCCTGTAGGCGGAACAGCATGTGTTTGAGCGCCTCCACTGGACCAGGGTGTTTTCTGCTGCTGTATCCTGATGAACAGGAGCCTGCAGACTAACACACTTATATCAGTACACATGTACATTAAATAGCATCGAGTTTAAATCATAATGCTATCATATACTGTACCTTGCTCCTCTGAAGCTCTTCAGGCGGTAGGGGTTCATTAGCGCCACCCACTGGTACTGGAGATTTACTACAGATCATGGGACACGCTTTACATTTATGCATTTAGCAGATGCTTTATTTTTATTCATGCATTCACTGGGAATCGTCATTTTCCCCTTTCATTAGAAAATGATCTTATTCAAAGTGTTTTGCTAATAAATGAACAATGCGATTAAATGTGAGAAATCCCTCACAATGCCACGGGTGGATTGTCCCAGGATCGATCAGCGTCCAGCGTCTCCGTCTCTCCTGAAGTGTTGTGTTCCTTCAGCGGCTCACAGAGACCAAGAGGAGGAGTATTTAACATCAGAGACACAATCTGATCATCTACACACACACACACACACACACACACACACAAGAGAAGAAGTGTTTAACATCAGAGACATAATCTGATCATCTATTAGGGATGGGCAACGATTAATCGCGATTAATCGCATCCAAAATAAAAGTTTGTGTTTACATAATATATGTGTGTGTAGTGTGTATAATTAATTTGTATATATAAATACCCACACATGCATGTATGTATATATTTATGAAAAATGTGGTATTAATATATCAAATATTTATATTTATATATAATATTAATTGTGAATAAATATATATAAAATATATACATGCACATATTTCTTAAATATATACATGCATGTGTGGGCATTTATATATACAAATTAATTATACACACTACACACACATATATTATGTAAACACAAACTTTTATTTTGGATGCGATTAATCGTTGCCCATCCCTATCATCTATACACACACACACACACACACACACACACACACACGAGAATAAGTGTTTAACATCAGACGCACAATCTGATCATCTACACAGAAACAAAAACTTATTTCAGGTCTAATATACTAATATTTAGTTTTATTTCAGCTTTATTTGAATTAACATAAATGTTTTTAATAGTTTTAATTATTACAATTGACTTATATATTAATGATTATATTATATTAAATTATATTAATAGTAAAATAAATAACACTGCATGAAGGAGGGTATTGCTCATAATAATTTAATTGTCACAATTAGGTGAAATATCCCAGTGATATTCTAGTATCATTGAGATAGTATTACTGTTTTTTCCACTTTCATTTTAATTAAAGGTTTAGTCAGTTTGTTTTTGACATTTTGTCTATATAGTTTTTTTTTTAATTCACTTTTATTTTTAAATGAAAATGCTGGGCAATGATTAATCGCATCCAAAATAAAAGTTTGTGTGCTTACATAATACTGTACATTTTCTATATATAAATACACACACGCATGTCAAATTTAGGAAAAATGTGTTATTTATATATAAAATATTTATATATATATATAAGTTATGCATAAATACACATTCAAATAAATGCACATTTTCTTAAATATATACTAGCATGTGTGTGTATTTATATATACAAAATCATTATACGCAGTACACACATGTATTATGTAAACACAAACTTTTATTTTGGATGTGATTAATCGTGATTAATCACGATTAGTCATTGCCCAGCACTAGTTTCTTTTAAATAAATGTTTACATTAGTATAATAATTCCCAATTGTTTCATGACTTGAGTTGTGGTTTGAGTTACCATAGGGGTGTCCTCCAGTGCTGGCCTGTGTGTCACGACTGGACTCCTCCAGTTCTCCGACCCATGAAGGAACAGTGCGCGGTCGATCGCTCTGCTGTCCGTCTGACGGTTCCTCACACTGTCTGAGCCACAGCGGGGACTTCCGGTCAGGAACGCTGGTCATCCCAGAGAAATCCATCTCAGATTTCTGGCTGGTCATCCAGCGCGGGAGACACGTGGATCTGGTCGTGTCGGGTGGATGCGTCCGATTGGCTAGAAGGACATTAGGTGGAGGAGCCTGACGGTGTGGTCGCGAGCCCATCAGTAAATCGTCCACAGGGAAAGATTCCTGATTCGCTGGCCGAGCGGCTCGACGCGAGGAGCGTTTCTGAGACCAGGAGCTGGAGTTAAAGCTCAATCCCGACGGAAAGCTGGATCCTGACCGGGAGAGAAGGGCGGAGGTGCGGGTCACAGGGAGAGAGCCGTCATTTGGGAGAGCTAAGAGGTCGTCAGTGGTCATACTGAGCCGGTCCGAGTCTCTCTTCCGGACGGGAATGTTCAGGAAGTTCAGCTCTCCATCCGTCAAACTCGTCTTCAGTACTGCACATGACATGTCAATCAAAGAAAAGTAAAACACAAGATGTTACGTGTGTAATAAAACAATCAAAATACACTTTCACTAAAATAAATAATAACACGCCACACACACACATTTACATATATAATTTAAACAAATTAAACCTAATAAATTACAAATGCTGACTTGGCAATTAACTGAAATGAGTTTAATTTAAAGTTAAAAATGACTAAAACTAAAATTGAAATAAAGATGAATAAAAACTGCAATGAAATGAAAATGGAAAGTATAAAAAATAAAAATATAATTTATATATATGTGAAACTTGATGATGAATGAATTAGAAATGTTGACTTTCCAAACTAAATAAATAACTACACCTCAAATTGAAATAAATATTTATTAAAAAAGTACTAAAACTAAATAAACCAAAAAAATAAATAAATTAAAAAGACAAAAAAACACAAAAAATTACTAAAACCTAAACTAAAATTACCATAAAAATGGACAATAGAAAAATAAAATAAATCAAAATGTTAATAAAATAATATTAATATAGTATTAATAAATAATAATAATAATAATATAGTATTAATAAACAATAAATTGCACATTTATTGTCACGTCTGTCTGTGATGATTGAGCTTATAATTGCATATAAATTATTCCTTAACATATGAATTAGCTTGTGGTGTGATGAAATGCTTCTCCTTCACCATCTCTGTTCCTGGGATGAGGTTTTGCGAGTGGTTTGGGCAGCTCCAGCGCCCCGGTTGACGTCTCAGAGTCCCGCAGACTCCTGTGGAAGTCACAGATGTACGCGTCGAGCGCCTCCGAGGCAGAAGCGTAGGTTTTGTCCTTGTATCTGATGGTGGAGACGGGCTCTGGACGGATGGAGCTGCGCAGGCGTCCTGATGTGGCCAGCAGTGACGAGACACTGGACTCAGGGGACGCCATCATCACGCACTCATAGCACTCTGCAAAAACCCATAAAAAATCTGTATTATGTGTCAGGAAAAAAAAACAAACATTTATTTTAAATTTTATTATTCAGGGCTCTCGCACCTTTTGACCAATGAATACACATATACAAGTTACATGACATTTTTACCATGAAAACACAGTGTAAATAATGTTTAAAAAAATAGTAGTTAATATAAGATCAGTCTACATAATTATATTTAACTACACTAAAAAGTTGATTCAAATATATCAAAATTTGTAAATATATGTGTATATATAAGAACAGTACTATATAGTAAATAAAAATAAACAGAAGTTGTTTGACAGGAGTTTCACGTTGTTGTTGTTGTTTTTTTGGATAATTTCTGCTGGAAATAAAACTGTGAAAAATGTTTTTGCTACGTTCATACTTCAATACTTAGTTAGTTAGTTAGTTAGTTAGTTAGTTAGTTAGTTAGTTAGTTAGTTTGACAATCATTGAGAAATAAACACAATGAATCTGATTTTAGATTTGACTGAGAATGTTGGAATCCGTTTCTGGTTTAAACTTTCACCATCCTGCATCAGAAAACAGAAACAGAAACTCACCGAAACTCACTGCAGATCACGAACCGAAACCGAAAGTAATAATGAATCGAAGAAAAACTGATCAGAAGAAAACGTCTGAACATGCAAACAGAAAACTAAAATCACTCGGACAACCGCCAGCGGAACTGCGCATGCGCATTGGATCACGTGATGTTCCGGTGAAGGTTCTTTGCTCGCTAGCTTCTCCACCCAGACGAGTTCTAGAGTTCTAAACGAGCTGCGCATGCGTATTGGGTCACATGACCCTTCCTCGAGATGCTCTATGCTTATATATATTTTAGGATTGATAGGCTGGCGAAGATAATAAAGTAAGAGGAAAAGTTGTTAATTTATGTCACAGTTACCCGCATTAATTGGGCTAATAATATGGCAGTCAATCGAATCAATACATTATAAAAATGCCTGACTCATGTGTGGGCGGCGGTTATTTCATATACAGAAATAGAATAAGGAGGAAGGAATGTAAACTTTAATAAACTTTTCTTGAAATGGGCGTCACTAGTTGATTAAGTTCACTGGTTATAAATAGTTCTCCTGTTTTAATTCACCACTGTAATGCGGTCACGTGATACCTAATGCATTTCTCAGAGCGTGGTCGGTTTGTAGAGGTTTGGAATAGCGTTTTCTTTTATATGTCGTATAATAACCCTTTAAGGCAATATTCTTAAATCATCATACATACTTTACAGTTTACATATATCTCTAATAAGACAAAAATCGTCGTGAGGATCTGTGTATTGAGCTATTTTTTTTACAGTCTATGGTATTGAGCCACCGAGCGCCTCCTGCAGGAATACACGAGCTCTGTCTCATTAGAAACAGCAGTTTTGCGCTCGATGTGTGTTTCGATCTCGCGATCTTGACACATGTAAACACTCCCAGCTCTGTCTCTGTCCTTCTCTCCGAACCGAGCTGACCATGCGGCTCCGGGCCTGCTGTGTTTACAGCACTGGACTGATCTGCATTCTGCTGTTAATCGCAGGGATCGCGATGGTTTTGTCGGAAGTCTTTCAGAAGCTCTTAAACAACAGAATAAAGGAGGTCAGTGTGCGTGTGCGCGCGCGCGCGTGCGTGTGTGTGTTGTTCATATGTTTATATCACATAATCACATGCATCCTGTTTTTCTTATAGATATTGTAACAAAAAATAAACAAAGGAAACAATATCTTTCTTCTCACATAATATTCTGAAAATATATAATATAACTGTCTATACTCATTAAATAGTACTATTACATTTATGTTATGAAATATAAATATATTAAAATAATATGCTGTAGTGCGTGTGTGTGTGTGTGTGTGTGTATATATATATATATATATATAAATATGTAATATATATTGTAATATAATATGTAATATATTTATAATATGTACTATGAGTATTGTGAAATTAGTGGAAAATTATGATTTTCTCCACAGATAATATTATGAAAAAAATAGTGTAAAGTGTAATGTAATACATCATTATATTACGATATATCAGTGTATTCTATGATTATTTATTAAAAATAAAGTCATAAAGTTTATGTAATATACAGTATATTATAATATAATATATACTATATTTTGTTACTATTAATATTAGTAGTAGTATAATTTATCCTCACATAATAATATTATGAAATATATGATTTTATTATATTATAATTTAAGAGTATATTGTATAATAATATGACATTATATAAATCAAACATAATATTATGTACTATTATATATATTTTTATTATGTAGTATTGGGATTTTCTCCTCACATTATAATATTATATTCCTAATTATATAATATCCCTTTATTATTTGTTCTAGCATTATTACAATGAAGTTTGATTCCATAATATCATATTGAATTAATATTATATGCAATTTGCTGAAGAAGAGAAATTACATAACGTCCAGAAAACGTTTTTTTTTCCTTTTACATAAAATTTTATAAATGTGCACAATGATGCAAATGATATATAAATATATGATATTAGGAAGTGTTCTAATTAAGTAGCTTTATGTGTGTTTCTCTTCCACAATTTTGGTAATTTCTAATCACAATTCACTTTCTCTTACAGCAAATAATTCTAGAGAATGGAACAGAAGCGTTTTCGGTGTGGCAGAACCCGCCGCCACCAGTTTACATGCAGTTTTACTTCTTTAATGTGACCAATCCAGCAGAGGTTCTGAACGGAGACAAACCCTCGGTCATAGAGATCGGCCCGTACACCTACAGGTCAGCCATAACTCAAAACACACTCTCCAGTAAATATGATTTTATTAATGCTATTGAAGTCTCTTCTGCTCACCAATATTACAATTAGTATAATATATTATAATTATAATCATATAAGTTATTTAAAAAAAATAAGTTTATGTAATAATAAATATACTTGATTTTAATTGGAAAATGACAACAATTATGTTTGTGTATATATACACACACACTTTTGAGTAAGCAATAAGGTACGAGAGGCTGTGCTGTATCGTGAATAAGTAACGGCTGAAGGGCGTTGTTAGGCACGGCGCGAAGCGGAGCAAACGGTTGCCACACAATATTAAAGTAAAAACAATGTTTAGTGCAACTTTCTTGAAGTAAAATCACTAAAAGCCTTCCTTCCGCTAGAAAAAATAGTCCCTGAGCGTGAACAGCAACAACGTTCCAATGTGTAAAATGCATGAAAGCTCAAATAAAAACAACACAGAACCGCAGTGTTGCGCAGCGATCAATAGAACCGTTGGGTGAAGCGGTCATAGCTGTGTTTTATCGTGAATAAAGCACAGCTCTTGACCAATCAGAATCAAGGATTCGAACTAAGCGTTTTATAAATATAAATACAAATTTAAATATAATTGAAACATGATGCTGTTTATTTATTTTTTCCTTGTTCTTCTTCTTTTCTTTTTGCTGTTTCCAGTTTTTCTTACACAAGTTTGATGAAAAGTTCGTTAAAAACGTGAAACGGCCAGAGCCCACATGTCAACAGCTTCAGATCTTATCTGAGTCACATGACCTGTTGTTGAAGAGTAGCTCAGCTCCAACACGTTGTTGTTTTCATAAGTCAATAAGAACCAGATCTGAAACTTGAATTTCCTCTTTCAGGGAGTATCGACCGAAAGAGGATGTGAAATTTATGGATAACGGAACCAGAGTGGAAGCTGTCAATCCAAAAACATATGTGTTCGAGCCTGACATGTCACGCGGCTCCGAGGACGACATCGTGCGCACGGTCAACATCCCCGCTGTGGTGAGATTGGGAACTCTGACATATTAAAACCACTAAAGTGAGAGTTTAATGTGTGAATCTCGTCACATTTCAGGCCAAAGTCAAAATAACAGTAATAAATTTTATTTTGCATAAAGAAATGATGTCCGAGATGAGCTAAATCTCTCTTTGTGTGTGTGTGTGTGTGTGTGTGTGTGTGTGTTTTTGTCTGTGTGTTTTTGTGTTTGTGTTCATGTGTGTGTGTTTTTTGTGTGTGTGTTTGACCTTAGACCGTGATGGAGACATCCAAAGACAGCTTCCTCAGACGATTAATCTTTGACCTGATGGTATCCAAAGGCGTGGGTGTGTTCGAGACGTTCAGGGTGGGCGACCTCCTGTGGGGTTACGAAGACCGGCTGCTCAAAGACCTCAAAACCTTTTTGCATGAGGTGGAAGACCACTTCGGACTTTTCTACAAGGTGTGTGGTGTTTGCAGTGTTGTTGTGACCATAAATTGTTAAGACATATGGGCGAATTGTGTGTGACGTCACCATAGACAGTATAAGAAGTGGACAGAGCGATCTCATTGGAACTCCATTGAGACGATTGAAGCCCGTTTTTGGCGATTTTTTTTTTTTTTTGCATTTCCGTCCCTGACGCGCAGACTCAAACAGAGCTTGACTACGTAGATGTGATGAGAGTAACCCGTCTGTCTTCTAGTGCTGTGGCATGAGAAATCTGAATCATTCCCTTCCGAAACATGCAGAGGCGGAGAGTGTGAATAGGAGCTATTAATGAGCTAGGAGAAGGAGACAATTCTGCTTGGTATTCTGATTAATTATTTTGTCATTTTGCCTCCACCTTTCCCCGATTGCGCGCGAGCTTCTCCTCCTGTCCATACGGTAATCTCTCTACTGTGCGACAGAGAGTCGCGTGGGTATGACGCAATTGTTAGCTTACTTTCACTAAAACTGCTTCTACGGGGCCATAACATAAGCTACAAGGTAATGGAGCATTTTATACATTGTCGGGTTTCTTTAGAAATAAATAAAGGTCAAATGGGGTCTTCAAACGCCTCAGATGTAAAGTTATTCACTGTCAAAGTGACACCAAAATGAATTGGAGTCAATGGGAATGCTAACGCAAGTGAAGTTCTGCTACAAGATGGCAGCTCCCGCGAAGCTTCAACTTCCGGTCGATGGATTACCCCCTTGGATGTCACCCGTAAGAGCGTTTCTGATGAGTGCCCAAAGTGGGTGGAGCCGGCCGTCGCCAACTTGGCCGTGCGTCACTCGCGGATAACTGGAAATGTCCAGCGAGGCGGATTAGCTGAGGAGACGTGACGCTAACACACAGCAGACAAACGCTAGCAGTGACATCAACGGCAATCCACCTGTCACACGTGGCCATGCCCTTAATTATGCACAACTTTCAGACTTAATATAATTTAAACGGATGAGTTATAAACACATTCATCCTCCTCACAGTTTTCATGATGGACAAAATTATCTATATAGACCAAAACCACTTTTTGCACCAGACTGTAAACATGTTTATTTCTCATAGACAGTAAAAGAAATGGACACAGCGACCCCATTGCTTTCATTGATTGATTTCAACGGAGAAGACTGAAGCCCGATTTTTGCACTTCCTGTCTGATGTCGGAGCGACTGCACGGGCTCAAACTGAGCGTGACGGCAGTCTCACAGTTGTAATCTTCTAGTAGCTGTGCCAAGACAAATCTGAATCAGCAAATTCTTCAAAAACATTGTTGAAATATTTTGTCCCGTTGCTTTTATGGACTCTCTATCTATGGGCTTCTACTTTGACTTTGTGCCTCCATGTCTGCCCGATTGCCTCATAGACAGTAAAAGATTGCCTGTGAACTTCTCCTCCTGTCTATACGGTAACGTCTCTACTGTGCGACAGAAAGTCCTGTGGTTATGACGCAATCTTTAGCCTATTTTTATAAAAACGGCTTCTACAGGGCCGTAAACGTAAGATACAGAGTAATGGAGTCTTTTAAACATTGTCTTGTTTCTTTAGAAATAAATAATGGACCAAATTAAATCTATGGAGTATGGACGCCTCAGATGTAAATTTATTCGCTGTCAAAGTGACGCCAAAATGAATGGGAGTCAATGGGATGCTAACAGCAGGTGAAGTTCTGCTACAATAGCGGCTCCTGAGAGGCTTCAACTTCCTACTGATGGATTACCCCCTTGGTTTATTTCTGCTGTATAGTTGGCCATTTTTTTAACGTGGGTTTGTGGGATTTGAGTCTCCTCTGCAGCCGGCCTCTAGTGGCCAGTCCTTGAACTGCAGTTTACGCCACTTCAGTGTTAAAGGAGAACTCCGGCGCAAATTGAACCTTTGGTCTAATAAAACATCGGTACCTAGTCAGTCGTTCTCTGAGATTTGTTTTCATAATCGAATGTAAAGAGTTTTATCTATTTTATCTATATTCCGTCCTTCGGATGAGACGTTAAACCGAGGCCCTGACTCTCTGTGGTCATAAAAAATCCCAGGATGTCTTTTTCGAAAGAGTAGGGGTGTAACCCCGGCATCCTGGCCAAATTTGCCCAGTGGCCTCTGTCCATCATGGCCTCCTAATCATCCCCATACATACCAATTGGCTTCATCACTGTCTCCTCTCCACCAGTAAGCTGGTGTGTGGTGAAAGTTCTGGCGCAATATGGCTGTCGTCGCATCATCCAGGTGGATGCTGCACATTGGTGGTGGTTGAGGAGATTCCCCCCTCTCTATGTGAAGCGCTTTGAGTATCTAGAAAAGCGCTATATAAATGTAATGAATTATTATTATTATTTATAAAAACTGTTTAGTGTATAACGCTAGTATGTGGGGCATAGAGTAATGAAAATAAAAATCGCTAGTTTATACCACTAACAAGGCTCAAAATAGCCCCACACTAACACAGTAACATAATCATTAAACGAGGGTCCATGCATGCAAAACGAAGCATTGAGAACTTTATAAGTGTACAGCAGTGTTGTAGTCGAGACCACCTCACTCGAGTCCGAGTCGACACCGAGAGCAGAGAGAGTCGAGTCCGAGTCAAGACCGAGTCCATAGAGAGTCGAGTCCGAGTTGAGTCCGAGACCAGAGACGGTCGAGTCCGAGTCGAGACCGAGACCAGTGAGGGTTGATTACCTAATTTACTTTTATTTACTTAGAGAAATCCTTTTTTTTTTTTTACTGAATTTTACTTAGAGTTTAAAAAATATGATCAGTTTAGGGTAAAAAGGCCACATAGTAGGTGGTGTTAAAAGTAATTTTATTACAATTTGTCATGCGCAGTTGCGCACTAGAAAATCACCAATCACTGGGCGTGTCAATCAATTATATACGTAAGAAATATAATATAAGAAATATTTATACGTTATACGCTAGTTTTTAGAGATAAAACTCTTTACATTCGATTATCATGAAAACAAATCTCAGAGAACGGTTAACTAGGTACCGATGTTTTATTAGACCAAAGGTTCATTTTGCGCCGGAGTTCTTTTTTAAACGAGTGAGACTGGATGGTTGTCGCTGGGTTGTGACTAGTGCTTGTTGATACTTGGCTCTAATACTAATGCTAAAGTTCAGTCAGTGTCTGAAAGACTGCAATGGTGTCTTGATGATTTAAATCGTCACATGAGGATTTTAGCATTTTAGTAACTGTCCCTTCTAGGATGATTATACTCTGTTTTATGCTTGTCTTTCATTTAAATATGTTTGATTTTAGGTTTGGGATTTTATTCAGGAAGGACACATTAAATTGATCAAAAGCGACATTTATTGTGTTAGAAAAGATTCTATTTCAATCAAATAAATGCTGTACTTTTGTAATAAGAGAAAGAAAACTAAAAATTTAAAAGCTTAAAAATATGAATATAACTATGCATCTTGACTATAATAAACTATCAACTATATGACACACTACTATGAAACTATAATAAAAACTAAATTTACTTTCTATTTTTCTATTCAAAGTTCAAAATTCACATGAGTTTCCCAAAGTGCACATACGAATAGATGGATGGAAATATAGCTATTGATAATAATCATAAATGTTTATAAGCATCAAATCATCATATTTAGACTGATTTGTGAAGGATCATGTGACACTGAATACTGGAGCAATGATGCTGAAAATTCAGCTTTGATCACAGGAATAAATTACACTTTACTATATATATTCACATGGAAAAACCTTTAAAAACATTAAAAACAGAAAGAGACTTTTAAAAACATTTTAAAAAATCTAACTGACCCCAAACCTTTGTGCATTCTGTGTCTCTTATATATTGGCATGTGGATCAGCTATTTATGGGTAGATAGCTAATATTATTAATTCAACGGCACATGTTTCTCAGTTTGTTTAATCTGTTTTTTTCATCTCTTTCATTCTCGTCATCTATTATGTTTCAGAAAAACGGCACAGATGACGGGGATTATGTGTTCTTCACGGGGAGGCAGAACTATCTGGACTTTGCTCGTATAAACGAGTGGAACGGACAGAGGTAAAATCAGCAGAAAGCTCCAGAAGATTAATGATGGATTTCAAACAAGCTGCAGAAGAGTGAATTATGGATAATGTGCTGTGTTTGTCAGTGCGTTAAACTGGTGGAGTTCAGTCGAGTGTAACATGATCAACGGCACCGACGGAGCCTCTTTCCATCCCATCATCACAAAAACTGAGAAACTCTACATATTCTCCTCTGATCTGTGCAGGTGAGCTCATTTATACACACTGATTTGAAAGTTATTAATACTTTTTTCATGAAGGATGCGTTCAGTTGATGAAAAGTGAAAGTAAAGACATTTATAATGTTACAAAAGGTTATTTCAAATAAATGGTGTTCTTATGAACTTTCTATTCATCAAAGAATCCTGAAAAATAAAATGTATCACGGTTTTCACAAAAATATGAACTGTTTTCAACATTAATAATAATCATAAATGTTTATAAGCACCAATGTTGCTGAATAGTCAGCTTTGATCACAGAAATAAATTACACTTTACTATATATTCACATATAAAACAGATGATTCACACTGGAATAATACTTCACAATTTTCACTGTATTTTTGATCAAATAAATGTGCAGAAGAGACTTCTTTTCATAAATCTTTAACGTTCTGAGTATATGTGATAATAATATCATGACTTATAGTATATGTAGTATACGGATGAAAAATAGCCTCTGGCTAAATCCGGTACAATACATATCAAAAATGGTACTTTTATGTTAAAAATTGTGCATGGTCCCTTCATAAATAAATAAAGAATCCATGTTGTATGTATGTATAATCTTAATATGTGATTATGTTTAATGTAATATGATGAATAATAATTTAAAAAATATAAAATTTAAAAAATAAATAAATAAATAAATTTAAAATAATTTAAAATAAATGTAAAAATATAAATGTTTTTAGATTTAATTTAGCTTATTTATTAACTTATTAAAACTATTTAATTATATTAATTAGCAAAATCCTGAATAAAAACAGACATATGAAATTATTTTTTTATTTTTCTAGAAGTCATTAATAATATTTGCTGGAGCTTCTGATTTAAAGTTTAGTTTAGAAAGGCTCTTATTGATTCTGTATTGATCATATTGGGCCTGAAAAGGTCTTTGCATCAGAATTTTTTTAAAGTGTTTTTTCTTAAAAAAATTATTTTTACTGATGATTTTTTTCTTTGGGTCACGCGTATAGGCCAAATGTGGCCTGAATCAGAGTCAGCTGATCCCAAGAAAAACTATTCAGCACTTCTGAAGTGATTTCCACATATAACCGTGTTTCGTCACTGTGAAATAAACCATGTTAAAGTTTATAGGGAAATTATAGTGACAAACAAAGCCGATAAAACTCTAGGAAGTGGGTCACACTGACTCATAGCTCGTTTGCCTCAAGTGAACTGTAAAACAGTTAGTGCTAATTAGATGCATGTTTTCACCTGTTTGAGTGTGTGTTTTGTGTTGACAGGTCTCTGTACGCTCTGTACGAGTCTGATGTGAGTGTACACGGGGTTCCTGGTTTCCGCTTCGTTCCTCCCAGCGAGGTTTTCGCTAATCTTACGGTTAACCCGGACAACGCAGGCTTCTGTGTGCCGACGGGAAACTGTCTCGGCTCCGGCCTCCTCAACGTCAGCGTGTGCAAAGAAGGTCTGTGTGTGTTTGAATGTTATACATGACAGAACAGACGCTGGACGGCCCGCTAACGTCTCTCTGTGTGCGTGTGTTCTCTCAGGTGCACCCATCATTATGTCCTCGCCTCATTTCTACCAGGCGGATGACAAATTTGTCCAGGATGTTTTGGGGATGAATCCCAAGAAGGAGGAGCACGAGACGGTCATTGACATCAACCCGGTACGTGTGTGTAACCGCCCTGAAAATCTCGCGTATAAGTGAATAAACCTGCTGCATGCTCACATGTGGGATATCAAGGTCTTGTTCATTTCATCAGCAATTTATATTTTTAGTCCTCACTGAAAGTAAAAGCTGCATGGAGCCGGAACATCACATGTTCATGCAGTTGCACTTTTCCAAGAGAATTTCCAAATGTCTTCTTGGATCAGGGGGATGGATGATGGCGGGTGGATAGATGGATGATGATGGGTAAATGGATAGATGGATGGATGATTGGATGGATGGATGGATTATTGGATGATGATGATAGATGGATGATTATGGGTAGATGGATGGATGATTGCATGATGATGGTTGGACGGATGGATGATGATTGGAGGATGGATTGATGATGATGGATGATTGGATGATGATGGGTGGATGGAGGATTGGATGATGATGGATGGACAGATGGATGATGATTGGAGGATGGGTGGATGATTGGATGAATATGGTTGGATGGATGATGATGGATGGATGGATGGATGGATGATTGGATGATGATTGGATGATGATGGGTGGATGGATGGATGGATGATTGGATGATGATGGATGGATGATGATGATGGGTGGATGGATGATGATGGATGGATGATTGGATGATGATGGGTGGATGGATGATTGGATGATGATTGGATGATGATGGGTGGATGGATGATTGGATGATGATGGGTGGATGGATGGATGGATGGATGGTTGGATGATGATGGATGGATGGAAGATTGGATGATGGATGGATGGATGGATGGTTGGATGATGATGGGTGGATGATTGGATGATGGGTGGATGGATGGATGATTGGATGATGATGATGGAAGGATGATTGGATGATGATGGGTGGATGGATGGAAGGATGATTGGATGATGATGGGTGGATGGATGGATGGATGGTTGGATGATGATGGATGGATGGAAGATTGGATGATGGGTGGATGGATGTATGATTGGATGATGATGATGATGATGATGGGTGGATGGATGATTGGATGATGATGGGTGGGTGGATGGATGGATGATTGGATGATGATGGATGGGTGGATAGATGGATGGATGATTGGATGATGGTGGATGGATGGATGGTTGGATGATGTTGGATGGATGGGTGGATGGTTGGATGGTTGGATGATGATGGATGGATAAGGATGATTGGATGATGATGGGTGGATGGATGATTGGATGATGATGGGTGGGTGATAGATGGATGGATGGATGATTAGATGATGACGGGTGGATGGATGGATGGTTGGATGATGATGGATGGATGGAAGATTGGATGATGGGTGGATGGATGTATGATTGGATGATGATGATGATGATGATGGGTGGATGGATGATTGGATGATGATGGGTGGGTGGATGGATGGATGATTGGATGATGATGGATGGGTGGATAGATGGATGGATGATTGGATGATGGGTGGATGGATGGATGGTTGGATGATGTTGGATGGATGGGTGGATGGTTGGATGGTTGGATGATGATGGATGGATAAGGATGATTGGATGATGATGGGTGGATGGATGATTGGATGATGATGGGTGGGTGGATAGATGGATGGATGGATGATTAGATGATGACGGGTGGATGGATGGATGGTTGGATGATTTGGATGATGATGGGTGGATGGATGATTGGATGATGATGGATGGATGGTTGGATGATGTTGGATGATGATGGGTGGATGGATGATTGGATGATGATGGGTGGATGGATGGATGGTTGGATGATGTTGGATGATGATGGGTGGATGGATGATTGGATGATGATGGGTGGATGGATGGATGGTTGGATGATGATGGATGGATAAGGATGATTGGATGATGATGGGTGGATGGATGGATGGATGGATGGTTGGATGATGATGGATGGATAAGGATGATTGGATGATGATGGGTGGATGGATGGTTGGATGATGATAGGTGGATGGATTGATGGATGATGATTGGAGGATGGATGGATGATTGGATGATGACGGATGGATGGATGATTGGATGGAAAACAAAAAATGATATGCACAAGCACTTTTTCCAAATAATATTTCAGCAATTAGCTTTGGTCCAGTGACAGTATAAAAGTAAATAATTTAATTTTAGATATAATTAATTGAATTCGTTTTCTTTACAATATTATACTCAATATTTTTTCTCACATACACTATTTCTTTAAATAAAAATACAATACAGAGATGCTTTTATATTATAATCCTATATTTGATCAACAAGTCAGTGTGCACACATCTGCTCTGCCACAAGAGGGCACCACCGCTCCACACTCCGCTTCACTATTAGAGTATATCGAGACAGATTCTCTTTCAGCAGAAAACTCACAACTGATACCAATGCTGCAGATCCAGAGTCAATGAATGCATGAATGGCATCTGTGATATCATTATTTACTGACAGAACAAACAAACATACTGGCTGATAAAGCCGGTCATGTTGGGATGAGTGTATCTGATTTCCCACTTCTCGACATCTAGTTAGTCATTAAACCGTTGGAGTTTCTCTTTTGCTGGGAGTTTGTAATCAAAGAATCTTCCCAAACTTTTCTGTACGAAAAGCCGTGAACATTTTTGCATTTATTCAAGCAATAGATCAAGTTAAAAAGAGCTTTTTCTGCACAATCGGGATCGGCGGGATAAGGTTTGCCCTAGGCGTGTTTTATGGTGTTGTGTAGGTTCACTTGGAACAGATTCTACACTATAAACCTTTGGCAGTACCATGGTACAGTAACAGTATCAGATGTGTACCTTAGTACTGAATGATTACCATATTTACTGATATTATATGCCCTCTTTACTGGAGGATAGAGGTTACACTCGGGTAAGAATCAGTTTTATTCTGGGAAGGCGTGTCACTTTATGCAATGTTTTCTCCTTTTCTCATATTTCTCATATGTTTTCACATCATTTTATGCAATGATTTCTCATATTTCTCAGTACCCATCATGCATTTTGCACACGGCACACGCGTATTGGGAGCATCCAGTGTTGGTGAAACAGTTTTAATGGGTCGCAGACAAGGCTATTAACACCAAACGTGTGTGTGTTTCAGCAGCAGCGTGTAATGCAGTCACTCCTACTATAGCCACTTTTAGCTTTATATTTGATATATATATATATATATCCTAAATATACTTTTTTCAATTGTAGACTTTTAGAAAGGCATCTGAAATAATAAACTAAGTGCACTGTCACGGCCGGCTCGCAAGCCGTGACAACGAAGGAGACAACACGTTGGATACTTGCTCAAAAGAATAACATTTATTAAAGTAAGAATAATTAAATAAAACAAGGACAAAACGGAAAACAACAATAAAGACTTCAAAACGCAAATGGCATGAGGATGGAAGAGCACGCCCCATCACAGCTGAAAGGAACTGCTTTTAACTGCCGGCATCAGCTCCAACACAGGTGCAACTCCTCAGTCAATGACGTCACTCACTCCAATTCCCTCCTGTAAACCAAACAGAAAGAACACACACAACACCCAAATATAACCCATACTGGGTTCATAACACCCCCCCCCCCTTAGAAAAGGGTTTACCTTTAAAAAACCCAACCTAAACCCTTCACCCGATACTCCGCACATTACTGTATAACACCAACTTCATCTTACCCCCAATTGTCCTCAGCAACCACGAACCTTTGTAGAAGCAATTTAAGAGAGTAAAAGGAAAGCAAGACAAAGCCTTGTTCATAAACAGTTAGAAAGAGTAAGGAACTCTAGACAATGCGTCTGCCACCACATTGTCAGTACCTTTGATGTGTCGAATTTCAAGGGCGTAGGACTGCAGGAAGAGGCACCAACGAGTCAAACGCTGATTTGGGCACCGCAAAGAGTGTAAATAAGTAAGTGGGTTGTGGTCAGTATACACGACCAAAGAATCTGACACGGATCCCACATACACTTCGAAATGATGCAGGGCCCAAATCAGCGCTAAGGCCTCTTTCTCAATTACTGAATAATTCAACTGATAAGAGGAAAACTTCTTCGAAAAATAACTCACAGAACGGGGAATCCCCTCATCGTCAGCTTGTAACAGTACAGCTCCCGCCCCTACGTTGCTAGCATCCACACACAACCTAAAAGGGCGATCAAATTTAGGAGCGCTAACACAGGAGCAGAGGTAAGCAATGATTTAGCTGACTCAAAAGCTTCCTGACAGACCGAAGTCCAGAAAATCAGCTTTGGCCTTCAGCAAATCAGTGAGTGGGGCTACCACCGTGGAAAAATTCCTACAAAATCCCCGGTAGTAACCCACTAACCCCAAAAAACGCATCAATTCCTTTTTGGTGGAAGGAGAAGGAAAAAGATCAATGGCCTCAACCTTGGCCCGAACTGGACGAACACAACCCTGTCCAACGACCTTACCCAAATAAGTCACAGTAGC